TGCCTTTTCTCCTTCTCTCCTGTGCCTCTCTCGGAAAATCTATTTCTAATACAGGCAAATACGCAATCAAGATCTATCTCTTTTTATATCAGTTCTAAGCTGATCTCCACTGATATTCTTGTTGTCACTTTTTTATTTTAAATTCTCAGTACGTTTGTTTATATGCTTGTATGCCTTTTTTTCCTGATAAACTATCGGAATCTCACAGTTGATTTTATTGTTAAATGTATTCTGATGTTGTATGTTATCATGCATTATGCATGAGCCTGGCATATTTGTGTATCATCTTGCAAAATATATTTGTCGATGTGAGGAGGATAGGGGCTGCATGTAAGGGAGTGTCTTCTTTATCAATCCACCTGTCTGACGGTTTCACGGGATCATAGAGAATGGGGTCCTGATCATTGATATGACTCGGGAAGGGGGTGGGCTACTGGAATCTACAAGACGTGTGGAGGCTATGGTGGGCACCTGACATCTACAAGAGGTTGAGGCCTAGCAACAGCCACAGCCACATCCGCCGCAACAATGATTACAATTACCGCAATGGCCACAGCCACCGCACTGACCGCACTGGCCGCAATGGCCTCCACAACATCCTTCACAGCAATCGCATCGGCTGTACTCAGAGTGATGTTGACGACAGCAGCCTTGGTGTCCTCCACCGCACTGACCGCAACAACCATGGCAGCCTCCGCAACAGTTTCCGCCACCGCCGCAGCAGTGATGACCGCCACACCAACACGGGCAGCAGCAGCAGGGACTGTGCGTGTTCCCCAGCATTTCGTGAATGTTAGTTTGTTCGTATGGATGCGCATTTATGCAGGTGTGCGGGCGTGGGTACGAGTGAGGGGTGACGCCCGAATAGGCGGAGATGGGATCATACAGCCATGCTTTGGAAATTTGCAAATGATTAGTTTTGCATGTTTATGTATATGCTTGCAATGGATATATGATTGCTTTTGGGTTGACATGTTGTGACCGCTTTTATTTAAGGTTAAAGTGAGTTGGTTTGTTGGGATTGCATGGTCTTTGCTTGCACTCGATCATTCAAGCAAATAGGTTGGTCAACAAGCGATCCAGCGAGCATACAAACGTACAGAAGGAGACAAGAGAGAAAGATTGATAGACAAGTAGACTGTGGGTATGCTTGGCATTGTTCTTAGAAGTTCAGAGCCTGGCCGTTGTCAGGGTTTGGCACATCCTAACTTAAGCCTTCAAACATTTGGACACTAACGTTTCTCTTCATTCCCATCTCTCCACTGTAAATTATTACTTCGAGGCTATAA